CTCTCTCTCTCTCTCTCTCTCTCTCTCTCTCTCTCTCTCTCTCTCTCTCTATCTATCTATCTATCTATCTATCTATCTATCTCACACACACACACTCACTCGATATGCTGTCTGATATCCTTCCATGGAGCACAACAAGCGTGCTCAGGGCGCCCCACCTCTGTGTGGCAAAATCCATCTTCCTTCCCATTCCGTCCTCCACTCTTTCCATACTATTACCATAAACATCAAATCGCGGTTTTTGTCCTTCGGGTCTCCTTACCCTTTTCATCCCCAACTGTTTCCTGTCTACTAACCTTGTCCACGCCATTATACTTTTCGCCCTTTGAGAAAGCCTCGCTGAGGATGTCAAACTGGTGGGGGAGAGTGAGTGGGGGTGCGGGAGGAAGAAAACAATCTCTAAGCAAGAGATTGGATAAAGACAGGGCAAGCACAGAAGCTAACGAAATAAATAAATGAATGGGCCCAAACCGAGGACCAGATGGAAAGCCGTTCAGCAGCCAACAAAATGAATGCTTCCGAGAGGAAATTTCTTCCAGAGACACTGCTTCCGTTCTTCGTAAGAGGAATGACGAGATATCTAAAAATAGCAACCGGGATGACAGCCAATGGATAGATAACCTGGCTCTTCTTTTTATAGGAGAGCGGATCATAGCTATAGATACCTTACGCTCCCAATCTGTTGACTTCTTTTCAACATCCATCATTTGCGACTTCAATCTTATGTAATCGATCACACTCGGCAGTTCGATATCCTCCTGCTCCTGCAGAAGAAGCCTGTTCTGCCGCTCCGCTGCAATCTGAGGATTGGATTGGGAGCATAGTAGACCACACGACCAACAGAAAGTCACGAAATCAGCATCCAGTCACAGATAAGGCACATCAGATCAAACATTACCAATTTGAGCTAATCTACATATAAGTTGATATAACTCAATGATTGTCTCCAGCTTGGCTTTCTTCGACTCCCTGCTGTTATGTCTACAATAAAGTCTGTACCTGTGTGGTTAACTGAGGATTCATTTTTGCAACAGGCCACGAGTTCGAACTCTGATGGAATCAGACGAATACAACAATGTCAGGGGTTACCCTTTCCAAAAGGAAGGGGTGCTAACTTGTAGAGGGGTGGCTGCATGGTACACACATGTAACTGGTGAAAACAGATCAAGACTCTAAATCCGAAAGCAAGCAAGAAAGTGAGCGAGCAAGCAAGCAAACAAGCAAGAGAGAGAGAGAGAGAGAGAGAGAGAGAGAGAGAGAGAGAGAGAGAGAGA